TTCAGATTTTTGCCATGTGACTTCAGTCTGAACGGTCAGGTCACATTCATCCCACCTACACGTCAAACTCAGAGTCTCGTCAATCTGGTCAGTGAGTTTATTCATATTTAGGAGGATCACTGAATTCAGGACAAATTTGAGGAGTCTGGAATCAGAACCGGGCATTTTTTTTTTTTTAAATGACTGTCAAAGAAATATCCGAGCACGGCTACAGACGCCCTGGCTCCAACGTCAACGAAAAATAAAGATCCTGCGAGACAAAAACAAGGAGGATAAAGACTCAAACAAACGAAGCGACCGTGGACGTGTAACATGAACATTTTACCAACAGCTGGACCCGATTTTCGGAGACGAGCCCAGAGTTTTTGCGACAGAATTCCTCCAATGCTCATGCGGGACACTTTTGGGGCTTTAAAAGTTCACACTGGAGATCACACACAAGTCGCATTTAAAGGTTGTATAGAGGATTTTCCAAGGAACGAGAAATCCAGCGACTGTTTGTCCTTTTTCAAATGTTGCGCATGTGTGAAACCACCTCCCCTCCCCTACAGCTCCTACGTAGAAACACCTCCTCCCTCCTCCTCTTTACGCCAGAAACAGGTTTGTTTACAGCCGGTGCTGCACATGACTTGTAAACAACTAACTACAGTGTTGGTTAGACAAGACGGAGAAGTGAGGAGCGGGGGGAGGGGGTGTGCGGACATTTCGTTCGCGGACGAGAAGTGAGGAGCAGGGGAAGAGCGGATCGGGCAGGCAGGGAGCAGGGGAGCAGGAGCAGAAAGGTTGCGCGGAGATTCAGTGCGAATGAACTAGCTACAACACGCAGCAGCAAGTGGACTCTTTCTTTGCCTTGAAAATTACGTTTTCAGACATAGGATATCGCTTTCGTGTCCTGAAAAACGTTTGTCTAACTCTTGGAAATAAAGTACGTTTTCATAATAAGCAGAAGTTTCCTGTCCAGGAGTAATTTGTGGACCAGTGCTTCAGTCTTTAGACCCTTCGTCTGCTTCAGTTGCGCCATCGCTGGAATGAATCTTCAAGAATCACCTTAGTTTGGCTTCGCTGCTTTTCCCCTTGTCTTCTTCTTTCAGCGACCTCAAAAACGGACTTTCTTTTGCGGCGAACTGCTCCTGGATTCTTGTCGCCATCGCAACAAACTTTGTGCGAACTGTGAGGAAGATATAGGTCAAAAAAAGCCGCTAAGAACTGTTGCGTTGGTGGAGTAAACAGCGTCTGTGCGTCTTGCGTCTGTGGACTGTGTGACAGTCGTACGTAAACCACGTACCGGCGGCGCAGGCAAGTCAGTTACACTAGAAACGTAGGGAGTTTGATTGACAGCCTGTCAGCTCACAGATAACGAGGCAGTGTCGTTATCTATTGGCAAATGTTTAGCTCCACCACGTCCAGAGTTGATGAATTTTTATTCTCTTTTTTTTGGTCATCATAATTACAAGGCGACTGCATCTATAATCTATCACTGACAATTTGAAACAAAAACAAAAAAAAGAAATCCTCCATACAACCTTTAATTGAAAATGTGAACGACCTCGCAAAAAAAATCATTTCACATGAGTCTCTCCGTCTGTTTTTCTTTTTGCAAGGTACAACATAAATCAACATAGCTCATAGAAATGCAATAATACAACTCTCTGAACGAGCTCGAAGGCAACACAAAGTAATTCATTCCTTTTACCTGCGTCTGAATCAAAGTAACAGGATTAAGGCGAGGGTTTTTTTTCTTTTTTTTGCTGCCATAACTCTGCTCTCAGAAGCGACGGCAGAAATAGTCGCGTTTCAAACTTCTTTGCGATAAGGAAAATGTCAAGTGGAGTCCAGACTTAATGAGATTGTGGTTATCTGGAAATGTGCCTGTGTCGACTCTTTAAACGGGACTGAGTGAAAACATTTAAACTACTTTTGTAAACACTGGAAATAAGAGAATCTGGGTCTGAATGTCGCCCCCAGCCCCTCACCCTCCTGACATACTCCTGCACTCTGTAGCGCCCTCTACAGTTCACTCACGCACAGACAGATTGCTGTAGAAGTAGAAGTACAAAGGAATTAGGAGTAGTAGTAGCAGTAGTAGTTGAATTAGCAGAAGTAGTAGTTGTAGTAGTAGTTTCAGGAGGTGTAGTAATAGTCGTCATAGCAGAAGTTTAGTCTTTATATGAAGGATCAGAGACAAATATGTTCCACACCAGAATAAGTAGTAGTAGCAGTAATAGTACTAGAGAAAAGTAGTTTCATGAGTATGTGTACTGACCCTGGTGCAGAAGTAGTAGTAATAGTACTACAGTATATGTATAATGAGTACTGACCCTGGTACAGTTGTAGTAGTAAGAGTACTACAGTATATGTATAATGAGTACTGACCCTGGTACAGTTGTAGTAGTAAAAGTACCAGAGGTGAGACCAAGTCATTGTTTTGCAAGTCTCGAGTCTTTGACCTCAAGTCCAAGTCAAGTCCAGGTCGTCTGCTTTGAGCTTCAAGTCATTTCAA